GGAAGGAGTAGTAGGGATATAAAGCAGAGGATAGCGCAGGGTCGTGTCGCCTTTAATAAAAAGAAGTCACTTCTATGCTCGCGAACGGTTAATTTAGAAATTTGAAAAAGGTTGTTAAAGGTGTATGTTTGGAGCGCGGCGTTGTACGGGTGCGAAACATGGACAGTGGGCGCGGCAGAATAAAAAAGGTTAGAAGCTTTCGAAATGTGGTGTAAAAGGTTAGAAAGGAAGAGGTATTAGAAACAATAGGAGAACAGAGGACTCTATGGAAGTCAGTAAAAAATAGGCGAGATAGGTTGGTAGGACACCTTCTCAGTCATGAAGGTCTAGTCAAAGACATATTAGAGGTAGAAACAGGAGTTAGGAAGGGTAGAGATAGACCTAGATTAGATTACTGTTCACAAATAGTTAAGGACATGGGTTGTTCTAGTTTTAGGGAAATGCGAAGATTAGCTCAGGATAGGAAAGAGTGGAGTGGAGTCTTAGGACTGACGACCATCTGACGATGATGCGCAAAAAAGCTTTATGTATTCTAGTTTGTCCTCAAAAATGATTAAAATAACATTAGTTTAATACTTGCCTGTAGTTTTACCAATGCCCTTAAAACTTTTGTAGCATTTAAAGCATTTGTATCATCATCATGACTTGCAACAGACACCAAGAACAATACCGCAAGTTTATTACTGGCAAATTGCATAAATACGTCACTTTCGTTTTTATATTCGTTCAATAAATTTAACGAGAACTGACAAGCGCCATTAACCGCCCCCTTATCCGACAAAGTTGGAAGAATAAGGGAGATCATTTCTGCACAATGTAAAGATAAACTTTTGTCGATTTTTGCACTGCAGAAAATTTGCATTATGTATGGAAATATTTTTGGTTCTGTAAGAGACAGTTTTATGTATCGGGATGCATGGGATGGGAGTTTTGGGTCTTGAAGTTTTGATAAGAGCGAAATACATCTAAAAAGTACAAACGAATTTTAACCGTATATCATTTCAAGGGACGATTTTTTTTAATTAAAACTTAGAAAATATTCTCATCAATTTTTTTTACGTAAGTTTTATATTTATTCAAAATTAGCTAAATTATAATGGATAATGATAGAAAATTAAAGTCCAATTTCAGAATTTCTTTGGGCTTTTGTACAGAAGTTTTACTTACAAGCAGGGACGTACTTAGCCTTTTTTGCACGGACCAAGGGTGAGCTACACCGGGCACCCTGGTTCACCCGTAGCTACGTCCCTGCTCGCAAGTAAAAATCATTTTTATATGCATACGTGATTAGTTTATTCTTACCTCGTGGAAATGATTGGAACATTACAATTTCTAAATAAAATTGTCAAAAGAAAATCACCGCTACCGCTCGCGTCTAAAGCTGGTAATATTTTCGTATCGTCTTTTTCGATGGACAACCACAAATAAAAAGTTTTTATTTTTACTAGTAAGGGTGCATAAAGAAAAATCCAAGTCATCTGGATTTTTTCAAATGTTATTATCTCTTTTAAATGATCTATTCTTTCAGATGATAATTGGGCCAGTATATGTGTGGCTGAAGGTATCTTTTGCCCTGTCTGATTTAAAGAATAAATCGGAAAAAGATGCAGTAAAATTTTCAATTCAGAAAGGGCAAAATTTCTTCTAAATGTTCTAGCTATTAAAAAATCTAAGATCTCAGCTTGTCTCCAAATTATTCTGGAACACGTAAGTTTATTTATTAATACATTATTTGTGCGAAGATGACATTGGCGGCGGTGCGATTTCCATTTGAGGAAAAGGTTTGTTAACAATTCATAAATTGACGTAAAATTAGAAGAAGTCGATGATTTTCGATATCCAGGAAGTCAGATAAGATGAAAAAAAAAAGACTGTTGATTGCGGGACGAAATTTGGATGATGGGCGCGTTAGAAATGAGATATTTATTAGTGTCTGGGATGTGGTGTCATAGAAGTATGGTGAAAATGAGGATGTATGGAAGAAAGTGGGAAAACAGAGAAAAGTCCAAATGAGGAAAAGAAAATACAAGAAGAGCGAGCTAGAGGCATATTAGAAACAGAAACAGGAGTAAGGAGGGGTAGAAGAAGACCCAGATTAGCTTACAAATAGTGACGAATGTTAGATACTGGCAAAGTTAAATTAATTTAACAAGTTAGATGTTTTAGTTTTTTTGGGAAATGCGAAGATTGTGTCAGGATATAAAGGAGTTGAGGCAGAACTGTTATTAAGTGAGATGGTAATACATTGATATATTACGTTATCAGATGCGATGGTATATTCGAAGAAAAAAAATTAGTCAAAAAATAAAAATCCTACTTTTTGGACATGTCTCTAAATTATTAGAATATTTGTTTGTCGAATAAAAAATTAATTATTTATAAAATTTGCTTATATACATTTAGATTCATTGTGATATTGATTTCATTGACTGTTATTAAATGCATACTAATTAAGTTTTAGCAATTATGAATAATATTACTGTAAGCATTTAGAATTAAGAATTTTGAGGAAGGATGTTGGGGTAAACTAAGCTCATACCGCCGCCAATGGAAGTTGCCAATAAACAAAAGTGTTAAAACTGCAAGTCTATTAGTACACTTTTTTTTATTAATTAGACAACATTCGATAAAACATAAATCAATAAACGTCGTACTTGAATACCTTGAATATAACTGCATAAAATAAACCGTAAGAAGGAATACTCTACTGCTATTGGAACTTGGCCATTGTTCCAAATTTTCCGGTAAATCCCACTCGATAATGTCATCAAATTTTTCATTAAAATTTGAAAATAAACTTTTATACATGTCACGTAAAATAAACACGAGGAGCGACTTTAGATCATTGGAAATTTCGATCAATGAGAGCATCTGGCACAGAAAATTCAAATGAGACCTCAAAATATCGGTAAATTTCGAACACACGCTTTCGTCTTGGATTTCGTAGATAGTCCCCAATACTTTAATTATTGTTCGGTAATCGTTTGTACATTTTGTCTAAAAGTTTTATTTTATTCGATTGATAAATAAATTCGATATAATGTATCGCAGTTAATAGCTTACTATAAATAATTGATTAGTTACTTCATTAAGAGCATAATCAATCATTGCACTACATAAAGCTGCGCTTGTATTTGTCCATTTGCTCCTATGAAACATTTAAAATTTAATTAAATTATAGTAGGACAATTAGAAGATTAAATCATGGAAAATTAGTTAGGTAATCTTTCGAATACGAAAAGCTAGAGATGATCAAGTTTTACATCTTCCTGATTTGTGTTTTATTTTTGATTTAAAATCAATTCGCTACTCAAGGGAAACAAAATTAGTCAATTAGGGGCTGCAAATGTTAATCATCTTCTAAATGACGCGAATAGAGACTATTTTACTGAAAGAAGTTACAAACCTTAGAACTGCATTACAAATTAAATTAGTTTCAGCAATAATTCCAGATTTAATAAGAAGAGGGAATAGTTTTGATATACACTTGACGATTGCCATTTTATTACAAGGATTTGTTTGAAGTATTAAATTTGATAATACTTCACCCCCCGCTTGAATAATCGATTTTTTTTTCTCTATTAATTGAAGCAATAATTCTGTTATTCTTTCACCATCTACATAGTCCTCTGANCAAACCCTTACTGTATTTCTCTACGCTATTTCTATTTCGAAATATGTTATTTGTTGGCGGCTTTCTATTCGTTTTTAGCTGGACAGCTAGAGGATGAGAGTAATGACAAAATGAGTTAAGGTACCATCTTTCAGCGACAAAACCTTACTGTATTTCTCTATGCTATTTCTACTTCGATATACACTATGTATTGGCGGCTTTCTAGTCGTTTTTCGCTGGACAGCTAGAGGATGAGAATTGAGACAAAATGAGTTAAGGTACCATCTTTCCTCAACATACAAACATGAGGACAAGAAATTCCTAAAAATTTTATTGCCTGGTCAAAATTGTTTAATACAAACATTATTATACATAATGTATGCAGTTAGATTAGTCACTTTTGCGTGAAGTACCTCCTGTTGGCTTAACAGGTTAATACTCATGTTAAAAATACGGCATTTGTAAATGACAATGATGACTAACGCTTCCATATAGGTCATCCCACATAGCCTCGTATATGTATTAATACTGACCGGCTAAGACAAAAATAGAATTAAAACAAAGAACAATGAAAACACTACGGCGTTATGGTACATTATCTACACCTTGTATTATTTTACAAAGAATAAAATTGTAATATCGAATTCATTATAAAAAAATGTCGTTAACTAATTTATGATACTGTAATGAGACAGAATTTCATTTGTAACTGATACGCCGTTGATTTCGTCTTGTCAATTCACTAAAAACAAAATTAGCCGTTGTGATGTAAATGACACGGCTAACATCAAAATCAAACAGTCGGCGCAAAAGAACTTAAAGTATAACGATATGAGCGTAATATGCGAATCCGCATCTCAAAGTAGAAAAAAAAAAATAACGTAACCAGTCGCTTTTTATTTTTGACGGATATAGATAAGTTTTAAATTATTATTTAAAGGAATAGGTAGTTCTCAAAGTCAAGTTTGAGTCCCTTAAAGATAATCGTTAAAAACAAATAGTATAAACTGGGCGCAAGTTAGTGTATAAAAAGACGGAAGTAAAATTTTAACTGTTATACCGAATTGATTGTCAAAATGTTAAAAAAAAGTATCACGGACATTTCAAAGTCCTTTAAAAGAAGAAAAAATATTAAAAGTTAATTGATAAAAGAGAATATCGAGACATATATTTAATTAGAATGTGCTTAATAATAAGAAAAAAATATATATTAGAAAACAATATTCAAGTGCATAAAAATCCGTCATCCCCCTCAATAAACGCGAGCAAGTCCGTCTTTTCAAATAAAAGTTACACATTTGTTTACGAAGATTGTTAATTATGTCAAGTAGGTAGGTATTAAATTAATAAAATACCCAAATCAATCCGATTAATTTGTCCGAAAACCTAATTTGTCACCATATAAATGTAGAAAAAACTTTAAATAAACTGTGGTACCTACATACAAATGTTGAATGAATTTTTACATATAACATTTTTAAAAACACATTACATAAAAATAAATTCGCTACATGACCATTATACTACGAACTTTATTGATTTTAAAAGTACCTACAACAAAAAACATTACTTGAATATGGAAAATTGATGTTTGTTTTAAATATTTAGGAGTAACGAGATAAAAAGATATTTGGTAATATGCGAGCAGTTTTTACTAAAATTGCTCGTATATCATTTTGAATGAATCTAAAGGTCACGTATTAATATTATTGCAAAAATAAAGTAAACACGATTTGTTTTGTTTACAAATACAGGTTTATGTTGGCAGAACATTTAGCACTATACAGTTGGTGAAACTTACGATCAGCTGACCAAATAGCTGCNTCTCTATTAATTGAAGCAATAATTCTGTTATTCTTTCACCATCTACATAGTCCTCTGATTTGATTTTATTAATATTAATACTAAAAATCAGTAGTAATTTTGAGTTTAGTAATTAATCAAAATTAAAATGTTTCTCACCTGATTAAAATACTATTAATAAATTGTAATAAATCTACTAATAAATTGTTATTCGTAACCGTATCACTTTTGGTTAAAGAACTTGCATTATATAAGGCAAAGTCCATAATATTATTAAAACAGTAATCAATTTTTTCAATAAATTTCGGACTTTCGACAAATACTTTAAGTATTTCAGTTAATAAACTAAAAGAAATTAATTTGCTTATTATAAAAAAACAAATCAAAATCCTAATTACCTAATAGTTTTGTGATCCACAATATTGTGTCTAGCTAGTAATTTGAAAGGAAACTTGTTAAAAAACTCATTATAATTTTCATTGCATTCTGCTTCGCTTTTAATTTTATGGCAAATTTCTTTAAAATAAAGAATGTTGTACGGATTTAAATCCATTATGTGAAGAAATGTTACTTTATTTCACTTTTATATTAACAACTAACATTACTATTTTATCACGTTTTCAAAACACACCAAAAAAGTGTTCATTTGTCATGTCATGGTACACTAATACTCTAATACTATGGCTTTAATAACTTAAAGTTATTTTATGTTAATTTTAGGGAATGATTTCAAAACAATTGTAAGAATATACCTAAATAATGTAAAAAAAGGACAAAAATGATAAAATATTTGAAAATGTATCAGTTTTTATTTATAAAATGTTGGTATTAAGTATTAGTGCGGTTGGATTGGCAATTATGAAAAAATCCAGATGATCAAAATGTAAACAATAACTTAACCTCTCAATTGTCATTTATAAATGTAACTGCTTTATTTAATTATAAATAACTTTACTAGAGTACTTTACCCAGTATTGTAACTTTAATTTTTTTCAATTTAGTAAATGGTGAAAAACAAAACTATTTATATCCTAAAAACTCGAAATGTTATGTACAGAACTTGTACATATTAAACATAAAAGTTTACATAATTGGTGATTTTTAATCTAACTTCATTTACTTTCTTATAAAAAGTTTTGCCCTTTTTTTGTAATAGATTACAATATTCCTTTGATTTAGTAATTAATAAAACTATCTGACATCTATTAATTGATATGGAGCAACACCACAAAACGTAAAAAAAAAATAAAATTGAAGAATCTGGCAACGTAGTTGAAGAATCTAAAATTAATTCATGGCAATAGACATCGCGTTATATGTTCGAATGTGTCTTTCTTTATTTTAACCGTATGACATACGTCGTAGATTTTCATGACTCATTTGTATATTATGTTTGACAATTAATACGTAAATGATACGTTGCGCGGTAAGTGTGCGTCGAATGAAAACGAAATAGCGCGATTTTGTTTACAAGCACAACAGAGACGCGTAATAAAAGAGCACGCAACAGATTTCCATGTTTTTATCGTGCTCGTAGGCATGGCAACGCTGTCAAGAATGTAAAACACCAAGGTTAGGATAAAAATAGAAAATCTTTATTATAAATAAATCGGCATTTTCACAAACACTCACTAAAATAGAGTTTTGCTGCACGTGTTGAACACTTTGTACGCAACTCTAAAAACGTTTTTAAAAAACAACTCTCAAAAATAGAATTAGGTCTATTTTGAATAACGCGGTTTGTCATAAAAAAATTGTAATGTGCGGATTATAATAAGTTGTACGCAGCGCGCACTTTATAACTTTGGATATCAATATAAATACTTATTACTTGTATAACATACATAAGTCTATTGTATTATTTTTTTCAACTCGCACTTTATAACTTTGGATATCAATATAAATACTTATTACTTGTATAACATACATAAGTCTATTGTATTATTTTTTTCAACAAGTTTGCAATAGGCATGAAAATGTTTATTTACACGAAAAAAACTGTATTTTTATTGTATAAGAAAAAAGATCACCAAAGTATTTTTATACGAAGTCAAAAATGCGTTGACCATCTGTATTATTTATATAAGTCGTTAAAGGGGAACTTCCGACTTGCCGCACAGAGATCGTCGGCTGCAGGGGGTTACAATTCGAATACGTAAATACCGCAAACAGTTAAATTATTTCGTTTCTTATTTTAAATAAAAAGTAGGATAATTTTGTGTGTTTGGGTATTAAAAATTAAAAAAAAAAGTCGCTTTTGCAGTATGTTAGATAGACACGTACTTAATTTTATTTAAATAAAATGCGCTTAATGTTTTATAACATCACTGAATTAAATATTTATGTACATACAAAAATGAACTGCNATGGGGGTAATGAAGTCAAAAATAACATAAACAGCAATAAAATTGAAAGTAAAGGAAAAACTAAGGAAGGAGCTGATGATAAAGTAACAACTGCAGATTATAAGTCACACTGCATAATGCAGGGAACAATTAAGAAACTTTACCATGATATAAAGTTGATTTCGGAAGAATTTAAAACTAACTGTGAGGGTATCGACTTGCCTTCTGAATTTCCTAGTATTCCACGTGAAATTGATGCACTTAATGATTCCTGGGTTAAAGATTCTGATATTACTGTATGGATTGATCCACTGGATGCTACTCAAGAGTACACAGAGAAAATGTATGAATTTGTTACTACAATGGTATGTGTGGCAGTTAATGGAAAACCTGTTATTGGCATTGTCCATAAACCATTTTTAAAAGAAACATATTGGGGATGGGTGGGAACATCGAAATCCCCTAATTTGCAAGTAAAAGAAAGGTCAGATGATGAACTTATCTTCATTGTATCAAGATCTCATACAGGAAAGGTTAAAGAAATGATAAACACAAAGTTAAGTGAAATAAAAAACAAAATTGTTGAAGCAGGTGGAGCAGGTTATAAAGTTCTTGAAGTGATAAAAGGAAATGCAGATGTTTATTTTCATACTACAGCAATAAAAAAATGGGACATTTGTGCTGGAAATGCATTGTTATTCTCAGTTGGTGGGAACATGACTACGTTAAAGGACGAATTGATTGATTATGGTGATACAGAGAATGCTGTAAACACAAACGGATTAGTCGCGACATTGAAGAAATATTTGAACCTTAAAAAATTGCTTATTTGAGAGTTTAGAGTTGTTAGTTATTAATTAGTTGTCCATTTTTTAAGTGCTTTAAAGGATTGTTTGACTTCATCATAGATTATGTACTTATTAAAAATACTTTTTCATATGCTATCACTATTTTATTTTAAATTTTGAGAAGTAAATATGTAAGCCAAAAATAAGAACATTAAAAATAGGATTTTTGTGTTCACATTAGAACAGGATGGTAAATGAACAATTTTTCTTTAAGTTTTCTTCAAATAAGAATTAGTAAATGATAATACAAAAAAATTAAATTGAATTCTGTGGGCTTAAGTCATTGCCTTTTATTTGAACCCTTTTATTAATTTTTATCTGCACTTTACCACGTTTTATATTACAATCTCTGTAAAAAGACTAGTAATTTTTTTTGCCGTCTTCAATAGATCAGCTTAAGCAAATACTAGTATAAAATTATTAGGAATTTATAAAAGGGACAAAAAATGCTCCAATTTGATCAATCAGAAATTTTTTTATAAAGTAACAAAATACAAGCAAAGAACATAAAAAATGTACAATGCATTTGTGCCTCACTTAAGATATCTTNAAATAAAAAAACGATATGAATAAAAAATTAAAGAGATACTACTACACTGTTAAGCTTACCTAACAGTGCTATGGCCTAGCTATTTACACTACACTCCATATCCATTTATCCACCCATTCACGCACTGAGGCATTGGTCGCATCTTTACTGGCACTACCTTTTCATTGATGATTTCAGTCAATATTAATTTTCCTTATGGTTATATTTTCTATTCAAATTGATATTGTGGCTATTTTTTTTAATAAGACAATAAATATAAAGCATCAAAAATCTTCACCAGTTAATAACTACAACTTATTAATAAAGTAATGTCATTGTTAATGTATTAATTAGAACCATTATAAAGAGCAACTAATCGAGAATTTTTTAGTGGGCAGTTGTTTTCTTATGATATACAATATGTCGAGTAAATATATAGGTACATTGAAGGTATAATTTTTTTGCATTCGTTATAAAAGATATTTTGTTGTATTACTGTAATGAAATAAATTTGAAGAAACGAAAGATTCGTAAATGCCCCTTGTGGTACCTGTATAAAGCTAATACTTGTCAAAAAAAAGAGACTCATTCAAGTTATATTTAGAACTTATTGTACTGTATTATGCACCTGAGATTTTAATTTTTCTTTTAATATTGTAAATAAAGGCAGTATCTAATATTTATCTAACATCGTTAATTAACAAATGTTAATATAGTTTAGAAATACCTAAGAACATCAAATTAGATTAATTAAAATAAGATAATAAGAAGTATGTATAAGTTGAGGGGTTGGTATGGTCTCTCATAATTAATGTGGCCATTCTATTTGAAAAGCACAAAAACGAATTTCAAACATTGAGTCTACTCTTGTTCCTTGACAATCTCATGAGTGTCGATTTACTTTAAATGAGAGTATCTGATCTCACTACTCATTACTAAAATTCAAAAATAAAAGGCTCTTGAGGAGCAAGTCTGGTACTAAGGAAACTCACTTTTGAAAGAAGATAATTACATTTCTGAAACAGTAATATGAGTCGGTACTCAAGTAACTAGTTGATCTTCAAGAAAAAAAAGTAGGCAACATGTTTGAGTTTTTACTCATTTTTTCATGCATTTCAAATTGAATGGCAACTTTAAAAAAGTGATACTATAAAAAGCATTCGCCCACAGACACGACACGTAGGCATCGTTAACAAAATCTGACATGTATTATTAGAAGGTACTAACATAAGGACAATGTAAATACACCCTTTCATCACATACTGAGATATACAAACGAGAGAGAGCAATTAAAAACCAGAGTATCATTGGATATGTTTGAGAGACTTTAAAAAATATTTATCGAAACAGAGCAAATCGAAAATAAAGTTTCCATTACACTTATACCTCTACAAACTATTAAAAAAAGAAATCAACTATAGGTAAATAACTTTACTAGAGTACTTTACCCTTTACCGTAGATCAATAATTAATATTACTAACTAAAAATATTTGTTCTTTAGCTCCACGGATTGTAAGTATGAAACGCGTTAGTTGAATATTGTGCCTTTTCTGTAGTTCTTTCTCAGAAAAGAACCTTAAGAGCATTTTCTTTATGCCAATAAACCAGTATGTTAGAAAATACGTAATCATGAATTTAGGAGGAGCAATTCATCTGAATAAAAAGTTCTGTTTAGTGATTTTTATAATACTTGTTTTATATTTGTACTTGTCTTCCTTTGGAAGTAGAGATGAAAATGATTTTACAAAACAGACACAAAATAAAGTAAATTTGAAAAATTTACTGCATATGGCTGTGATTGCTGCAGAAAATGGGGGTAATGAAGTCAAAAATAACATAAACAGCAATAAAATTGAAAGTAAAGGAAAAACTAAGGAAGGAGCTGATGATAAAGTAACAACTGCAGATTATAAGTCACACTGCATAATGCAGGGAACAATTAAGAAACTTTACCATGATATAAAGTTGATTTCGGAAGAATTTAAAACTAACTGTGAGGGTATCGACTTGCCTTCTGAATTTCCTAGTATTCCACGTGAAATTGATGCACTTAATGATTCCTGGGTTAAAGATTCTGATATTACTGTATGGATTGATCCACTGGATGCTACTCAAGAGTACACAGAGAAAATGTATGAATTTGTAACTACAATGGTATGTGTGGCAGTTAATGGAAAACCTGTTATTGGCATTGTCCATAAACCATTTTTAAAAGAAACATATTGGGGATGGGTGGGAACATCGAAATCCCCTAATTTGCAAGTAAAAGAAAGGTCAGATGATGAACTTATCTTCATTGTATCAAGATCTCATACAGGAAAGGTTAAAGAAATGATAAACACAAAGTTAAGTGAAATAAAAAACAAAATTGTTGAAGCAGGTGGAGCAGGTTATAAAGTTCTTGAAGTGATAAAAGGAAATGCAGATGTTTATTTTCATACTACAGCAATAAAAAAATGGGACATTTGTGCTGGAAATGCATTGTTATTCTCAGTTGGTGGGAACATGACTACGTTAAAGGACGAATTGATTGATTATGGTGATACAGAGAATGCTGTAAACACAAACGGATTAGTCGCGACATTGAAGAAATATTTGAACCTTAAAAAATTGCTTATTTGAGAGTTTAGAGTTGTTAGTTATTAATTAGTTGTCCATTTTTTAAGTGCTTTAAAGGATTGTTTGACTTCATCATAGATTATGTACTTATTAAAAATACTTTTTCATATGCTATCACTATTTTATTTTAAATTTTGAGAAGTAAATATGTAAGCCAAAAATAAGAACATTAAAAATAGGATTTTTGTGTTCACATTAGAACAGGATGGTAAATGAACAATTTTTCTTTAAGTTTTCTTCAAATAAGAATTAGTAAATGATAATACAAAAAAATTAAATTGAATTCTGTGGGCTTAAGTCATTGCCTTTTATTTGAACCCTTTTATTAATTTTTATCTGCAAGTCTATTAGTACACTTTTTTTTANCACCCCAATATTTCGTAAGAGTAGTTGCAAGAAAAATAAATACAAGGGAAAAACTGTAGGTTAACAGAGGACACGATTTCAAAAAAGCACATTAAATAAATTTGCACAAATTTAAAGGCGGGATAAAGACAATGCTAATATTCAATATGTGAGAAGCCACTTCAAAATAATAAAAAATAAATATTCCTTACACAGCCGTCTCTCCTCAAATAATTTAGCATACCTCTCTTTCTAGACTAAGAGTTTTTTACCTTTCCCAAATTAATAGATTTAAAAAATACAATTAATCTAAAGATATTACTGATTAATACTAACACAAATTACGTTTTGTTCTTTTCAACAGTCTTTCTGAATAATTACAATACAATATTAGTCATACCATTATCAAAATTTATATTATATAGAAGAAAAAAATGTATAAAGCTAATACTTGTCAAAAAAAAGAGACTCATTCAAGTTATATTTAGAACTTATTGTACTGTATTATGCACCTGAGATTTTAATTTTTCTTTTAATATTGTAAATAAAGGCAGTATCTAATATTTATCTAACATCGTTAATTAACAAATGTTAATATAGTTTAGAAATACCTAAGAACATCAAATTAGATTAATTAAAATAAGATAATAAGAAGTATGTATAAGTTGAGGGGTTGGTATGGTCTCTCATAATTAATGTGGCCATTCTATTTGAAAAGCACAAAAACGAATTTCAAACATTGAGTCTACTCTTGTTCCTTGACAATCTCATGAGTGTCGATTTACTTTAAATGAGAGTATCTGATCTCACTACTCATTACTAAAATTCAAAAATAAAAGGCTCTTGAGGAGCAAGTCTGGTACTAAGGAAACTCACTTTTGAAAGAAGATAATTACATTTCTGAAACAGTAATATGAGTCGGTACTCAAGTAACTAGTTGATCTTCAAGAAAAAAAAGTAGGCAACATGTTTGAGTTTTTACTCATTTTTTCATGCATTTCAAATTGAATGGCAACTTTAAAAAAGTGATACTATAAAAAGCATTCGCCCACAGACACGACACGTAGGCATCGTTAACAAAATCTGACATGTATTATTAGAAGGTACTAACATAAGGACAATGTAAATACACCCTTTCATCACATACTGAGATATACAAACGAGAGAGAGCAATTAAAAACCAGAGTATCATTGGATATGTTTGAGAGACTTTAAAAAATATTTATCGAAACAGAGCAAATCGAAAATAAAGTTTCCATTACACTTATACCTCTACAAACTATTAAAAAAAGAAATCAACTATAGGTAATATGTATATAAATATTTTAAGCCTAATCCAATTAACTTCGTGTTGTTGTATAATAATATGCACAAATTAAATGATCAGATCACCAATATTACTTATTTCCTTTTATTTATCTTCAATACATATTTGTATATGTATAATAGGCATTTAAATTTACCGATTACGAACTACTTAAGATTCAGTTTAAACATTAGCAGTCATTGTAGAAACTCTTACACGCTAAAACTAAGGAAATATAATATAAATATAGCCTACGTTTAAACAACATACTAAACCTACCTTAGAGAGATATAAAGTGTCTGTGTGAGTGTAAGTGTATGTGGGTGTGTGGTGTAGATTCATTATTTTTCTTAAGAGAACAAATTAATTTCATGATAAGTTCAGCAGTACGACTACTTTTCACACTGAATTCAGCTTTATGATAGCTCATAATTTCTATTAGTTTCGTTTTTGTATAAATAGTACATTCAGTTAGTCGTTATTCATACATTTACTAAAAAATGGCCTCTTTAGAAGAATTCACATTGTTGGGATTAGGACAACGCTTTATCTTTAGTTGCCACCCCCCCACAATTATCTAATTTTATTCATGTAAGCGAAAAATTAATGATACCCGAAAAGCAATTTTCAATATAAAACAGTATACAATTTTGAGATTTTTTTGAATTAAAATGGATTTACGATGTACAATAGGATTTAGGTATCAAAAAAACAGAAAAAGAAAATATCCCCTAAACTAAAAAATCTTTTAAATTTATTTTGCAAACACACATTTTACTGTTATATTTAAAATTAAACAAAATTTTTTGTTCTGCTACATCTTATAATCTTAGCTTTCAAAAGAGCAAAACTAATAATTTTTTGTCGTTCCCAATCCCAAAAATCAAGTATTACAACGACAAGGAATAACAACACACCGAAACACGTCGTCTTTATTTAACGTGGAGTAACTCACAAAAACTAACGTGAAAAAACAACGTTTTGTGCATGAGAAATCGTCTCCTCCAACAAATTTTAGCCTCTTCGTTCCATTCTCTGGTGAACACATTAACTGATTAGCCAACACAACAACGTTTACTTGTCACAACGTACACGATACGATACGATACGTATTATGATAATATTTTATATTTACTTTTATAAGTATATATATGTATATATATAAATTAACCACGTATAAGTGAATGGAAACCTCGCCTTACGTCTTAAAAAAAGACTAATCTATGTATTTATCTACTAATTAATTAATTAATAATAGGTTAGAGAGCAAAGTTAGCTGTTTTATCACAAAGACTTAAGTTAGTGAGTTACAGCTCTTTGGCTCTTGTGCTTTGTGCTGCATATCCTTGTTGTACGTACATCAGACAAAAAGTTACGATTGATGAGTATTAATAAAAAAAAACACGTGTTTTTTTTGTACGTCACCCCCAAGCTGCCGATATGTTCAATAGGGTGCAAAACGATTGTAGCTACTTCGGTAAACGGCCGCCTGAAAATTATTATTATNCGGCCCTAGCTCGACCTCTCTGAATTGCTGCTACACCCCGAAGAGCAGCCTCTGGCCACTGAACACAGACAGGAACTGAACAACAATAAAGCCATACTTTAAAATTCAATATCCACATTTAAAAACACAAATACACATTTTATTTTAGAGCAAGGCATTTATTTAGTTTTACATTGTGTAAGCCAATATTCTTTTACTTCAGCTACAACTATAATCTACTTTCTTCAGGAGTCAAACGAGACTACCGAAATTCATGTATGGATTGGCCTGTAGGTGTATGAGTACCACCTTTAAACTGACGATAATGCACTTAATTCGAGTTCCAGAGTATGATTGAAACTTGGCTAAAACAGGACCTAAAATTCAATCAGAATCTTGGCTCTGACGACGTTTTATCGAAATACGTTGAAGTTACAATGTTAATGGTTTTTAATAGATCAACTTTAATGAATAAGGACATAAAGTAATCTGGGGGGAAACATTTGGTTGTGATGTAATGATAAAAGATAGACTTACGTCTACCTTCACTAGCATCTCACGTGATCCGCTTGTTATATTTGCAGAGCAATCAGATCGTCATTCCTGCTGTTTATCATGATCATCAGTATCAGGAGGTGAATATACCTATATACACGCGGTAGAAGTTATACTTATATAATTTCACCGATATGTACATAGTAAATAATTTATTTAAAAAATAATATATCAAAGCACCAAAAACATTTATGAGAAATGAGTCTTTTAAAAATCAAAATATATGAATAAGGTTACATACCCCATATCCAGCCATGGGCCCAATTCCATGACCCAAGTAGGGATCAGCATAGTCCCTCCCGTAGCCTGCTGCAACAGCGTACCCAGCTACTGGTTGTGCAGCCCCATATCGCGCGGCCACAGCCGTGTAGGTCGCAGCAGCCGCATAACTCGCCTGTTGGGCAGTCGACAGAGGAGTTTTTAGTAGTGGCGTGGCAGCAGCGGCAGCCTAGAACAATACAGCCATGCATGCCATGCACATCTAAAGCAACTAGGTAAAAACCAGTACATAGACACATGTACATATATTTGTAGATTTATGTTCTCCATTAATGGTGGCCCATAAAGTGCTGTTTTTTAAGATAGTCATATTTGAAAAAGATATCCCAAATACGTCCAATAAGTTGTTATAACAGATGATTTTTATTTCGCTCGTATCAAAAAATTATTACTTCATCTTTTTACAACGGATTTTTAAAAAATTGTACGTAGTGCACTTTTTCTATTTTCAAATACGCTTCTCATAATTCCACATTTCAGCGGTTGTGTCATTTTTGCATTTAGACATTTTTTTTTGTGAGAAAGAATTTCCTATGTGTTAAAAATGAAATGTACCTTTTTGGATGTTCGGTTTGCATTAAAAATTAAATCATGCACACATACAGTTTTGAAATCATAGTCTAACATGAATTTATTATATTATTTTTGCTAAATTTTAAATTTTTCATAGAAGACGATTTAAGACTCAGATAAATAGGAATGGACATTAAAATCGAACAACAGCAATCGTATAGCAGTTCCATACAATTTACTAATAAGTGTATGTTAATTAATTAATAAATATGTAATAGAATCAACACCTCACTTTGATTTTTATGTATGATAATGTAAAGCACCACGATAATATTAATGTTTCAATATTTACAAGGTTGACATTAAAACAAATGTAGGTACGTACTTATGAGCCTATGCATTTATTTACATACTTTTGTATTATTAATGAAATTGTCTGCATTAAGTGCTATTAAATTCAATTATGATATGATCTTCGTTAAGAGAAAATTAATTAATTATGGATACGAGAAAAGGACAAATACAATAAGCACTTGATTAATATTTCATAAAACACAACACACATTTAACGTTACATGAAAATTCCATAAGGGAATTTTTCCCAATGACTTTAATAGTAAATAGTAATAATGACAAAAACGTACTTCATGTATATGCCCCTATTGTATAAAGAATTACCCGACTTACCCAATTTTTTTGCTTTCCATTAGAAAACAATTCAAAATTCCATTTATTCACAAATTAACTGTTAGAAAAAGCACTTAAATATGTTTTAAAAGAAAAAAAAAATAAAGTACAATATTGACCAATTTCTTGTTTAATTAACGAAGGGATGGAAAAATGTTTCTTTAATGATACGATACCTGCTCTTTAAAGGAAAAACACAGTAAATGACATAGATCAGTTTGACTTTTTTTAAGTACTATGGATTTGGTGTGAAATGTAAACATATAATTTATAATGTGAAAATACATATTTCCAAAGATCTTTGCCTTAAGGGACAGTTAAAAGACAAATATGTAGCAATATTTGAACTGGAAATAAATACGTAATCAATTTTTTAGATAAATATTTCTTGAATAATTGTGGGGGTTAAGATCTCTGGAATAAAATTATGTTGTTTATTATAGTATTATTCATTTGTAACTACCTGTAGCCTATAATTTGGATCAGCTGCATGTGCCGCTGTCAAAAATGGATCATAATAGACTCCGCCATCGACTGGCAAAGTATTTAAAACGGGAGTGTAACCATGGAGAGCACTCGCCAGAGGAGTCGGATGTCTTGCAAAAGCTGCGGCCGCGGCAGCCGCTGCTGCGGGATATGCGGCCCTAGCTCGACCTCTCTGAATTGCTGCTACACCCCGAAGAGCAGCCTCTGGCCACTGAACACAGACAGGAACTGAACAACAATAAAGCCATACTTTAAAATTCAATATCCACATTTAAAAACACAAATACACATTTTATTTTAGAGCAAGGCATTTATTTAGTTTTACATTGTGTAAGCCAATATTCTTTTACTTCAGCTACAACTATAATCTACTTTCTTCAGGAGTCAAACGAGACTACCGAAATTCATGTATGGATTGGCCTGTAGGTGTATGAGTACCACCTTTAAACTGACGATAATGCACTTAATTCGAGTTCCAGAGTATGATTGAAACTTGGCTAAAACAGGACCTAAAATTCAATCAGAATCTTGGCTCTGACGACGTTTTATCGAAATACGTTGAAGTTACAATGTTAATGGTTTTTAATAGATCAACTTTAATGAATAAGGACATAAAGTAATCTGGGGGGAAACATTTGGTTGTGATGTAATGATAAAAGATAGACTTACGTCTACCTTCACTAGCATCTCACGTGATCCGCTTGTTATATTTGCAGAGCAATCAGATCGTCATTCCTGCTGTTTATCATGATCATCAGTATCAGGCTAGGTTTAAATCACGCAGAACATATGCAAATTGTTCACTTCCTGTCAACAGGCTAATTTCGGTAGTCTCCTTTTAATAAATAAATATTAATTGGTTGGATACTGTATCGTCAGTGTACTTTCTTTGATGCCATAAAACTGTAGAACAGTTATTATGCTAAGCTACGAGAAAAGGTTAATTACACACCTGTTGGAAGAGCAGTTGGCTTCTTTGTTTGTACTCTGGCAGTTGCATTATTCACCTGCGAAATATATGAATAATTTAGGAAAATAATTCTTTTGTCATAAATTGTGAGACAGACAATCTGTTTAAACTCGTTTGTACCACACTTTTGCCTTTTTAATATAGTTACTTTTTTTTTGATACAAACGACAAACAAATTGTTCTACCTGCAAGAAAAACGAATGATTCATTTCTACTTAGAAATTACAGTATTATTAAACTATTAAAGTCATTTGCATTGTCACAAAAGAAGTTAAGAATTAAATCGTTCGTTTATCCTTCGACACAGCTATTTTTACTTATATTACTGAATGTTATTACTAAGAAGATAACGAAAGGAAGAAAGTATTGCCAGATTTTTTTAACAAATAATGATTTCTGTTTCTTCTTTTCGTTTACAGGATACAGGCTGTTTACAAAATTAATGGAACTAATATAATAATTATTTTACTATTCAAAATGAAAAATTATAAACTATACTTAAAAATGTCGAGAGTCGCCCTTTGATAATTTATAAAAAAATAACAGCACAACAGTGTTTAAACATCGATTGAAAACTATTTCAAATTTAAACACTACTGTTGCTGTGATACTTTGTAATGGAATTGTGTCCTGAAAATACGCCTACAAACTCTTATCGATCGTGTTTGGTTGATAAAATATATTTTGTGAGAACTAATTGTTAACAGACAAAGAATTATTTCAAGAAATAAGTACATTATAGTTACATAAAAATACATGAAATATGTTATAATAAATACACAGTATTATTCCCCAAAAGGCATTGACGAACTCAACTTTTACAAAAACAACTCAATGCAATTAATTATTTCTGTAAGAAGTAATATATGGTTTATCTGCATTTAAATTAATGAAATAAATTTGAAGAAACGAAAGATTCGTAAATGCCCCTTGTGGTACCCAGTTTATTTTAAATTGTACGCTGAATTTTACAATAAATGTCCTTACCAATTAAGCAAAAACAACGGTAACAATGTGTTATTACTTTTTTCGATTTTACGAAGCCTTAATAATTTAAAATTACCTTTTCTAATTGGCTTTCCAAGAGTTAGCAGACTGGAATTTTAACTTTTACAAAGATGCTGGAGATTGAGTTCGCCCTGCATAAACACGAAAATTAAGGTACTCTTTCGTTATCTATGACTTTTACAATATGCAGTAGAAGGAATACAAAACTACATGCGTTATAATAATTCTCCAGCATTTACGCATATACATGCCTACACATTTTGAAAAGGACACTATCGAGGATTAAACAACGGTGATTTTTTATTAATATGACTTGTTTCTAAATCATGCAAAACAGTGCACCCCAATATTTCGTAAGAGTAGTTGCAAGAAAAATAAATACAAGGGAAAAACTGTAGGTTAACAGAGGACACAATTTCAAAAAAGCACATTAAATAAATTTGCACAAATTTAAAGGCGGGATAAAGACAATGCTAATATTCAATATGTGAGAAGCCACTTCAAAATAATAAAAAATAAATATTCCTTACACAGCCGTCTCTCCTCAAATAATTTAGCATACCTCTCTTTCTAGACTAAAAGATCAAATTACATATATTTTAGTGCATTAAGCCAGAGATTCATTAGTGAGCACCTAAACAACACTAAACAGCGTGCCAAAACAACAAATCGGGTAATGTGGTTGTTTTTGTCTTTTCTCGATACCATTATTTTCCTTAAAATATATTTTCTCGATTTTTTAATTTTTTTTAAATTATGAGTAGTAGCTATTTATAATGTGAAAATACATATTTCCAAAGATCTTTGCCTTAAGGGACAGTTAAAAGACAAATATGTAGCAATATTTGAACTGGAAATAAATACGTAATCAATTTTTTAGATAAATATTTCTTGAATAATTGTGGGGGTTAAGATCTCTGGAATAAAATTATGTTGTTTATTATAGTATTATTCATTTGTAACTACCTGTAGCCTATAATTTGGATCAGCTGCATGTGCCGCTGTCAAAAATGGATCATAATAGACTCCGCCATCGACTGGCAAAGTATTTAAAACGGGAGTGTAACCATGGAGAGCACTCGCCAGAGGAGTCGGATGTCTTGCAAAAGCTGCGGCCGCGGCAGCCGCTGCTGCGGGATATGCGGCCCTAGCTCGACCTCTCTGAATTGCTGCTACACCCCGAAGAGCAGCCTCTGGCCACTGAACACAGACAGGAACTGAACAACAATAAAGCCATACTTTAAAATTCAATATCCACATTTAAAAACACAAATACACATTTTATTTTAGAGCAAGGCATTTATTTAGTTTTACATTGTGTAAGCCAATATTCTTTTACTTCAGCTACAACTATAATCTACTTTCTTCAGGAGTCAAACGAGACTACCGAAATTCATGTATGGATTGGCCTGTAGGTGTATGAGTACCACCTTTAAACTGACGATAATGCACTTAATTCGAGTTCCAGAGTATGATTGAAACTTGGCTAAAACAGGACCTAAAATTCAATCAGAATCTTGGCTCTGACGACGTTTTATCGAAATACGTTGAAGTTACAATGTTAATGGTTTTTAATAGATCAACTTTAATGAATAAGGACATAAAGTAATCTGGGGGGAAACATTTGGTTGTGATGTAATGATAAAAGATAGACTTACGTCTACCTTCACTAGCATCTCACGTGATCCGCTTGTTATATTTGCAGAGCAATCAGATCGTCATTCCTGCTGTTTATCATGATCATCAGTATCAGGCTAGGTTTAAATCACGCAGAACATATGCAAATTGTTCACTTCCTGTCAACAGGCTAATTTCGGTAGTCTCCTTTTAATAAATAAATATTAATTGGTTGNTAAGAAGAAACAAAAATAAAAAAATTCCCAAATGTTGTTTGGCAAATTAAAACAACTGAGAATGTGTTATTATGTGCATATTATCCTTCTAATGTTTGTCACAGGTAAGTATTATAAATATACATAAGAATATTATAAACGACATGAATATTTATGATTATTAAACTAGTCCGAAAAAGCCAAAACCATGTTATTGTAATTCAAATGTTCTAGATAATGATTCAGCAGTACTATATGAAGATCTACTTACGACTGTATTAATAAACAACAAAAAGGAGACAACGGCGATGATTATAAAATAAAACAAAAAATAATAATAACAATGTAGAAAATAAAGTAACATAAACTAAGGTTACATGAGAACAAATGATTGATAGTGAGTTGGTATGACAATAGCATTCATCTGTCGATCGACTGATTCTAATGTAGTAGTAATAAAAGTAGTACTAGCTTAGAGTGTGGAGAGCTCATGTTAATAAAAAACCACCCTGTACATTGGTTTATCTTACAATTAGTAGTTACAAAAATTAATTATGTATGCAAAAGTAAACAAAAAAATTAATTCTAGACATAATAATGTCCATGATGCCGGGCTAGAGTTCTGCGACAGCAGCAGTAGCACGGGAGGGGCGTTCCGGGCAAAAGTTGCTTACATCTAGCTTACGTCTAGTGAGAATCAGTGGGACGACGCGAGGCCGACGCCCCGGGCATCCGTGTGGCGTGAAGCCGGGGGCGCCGACCCTGCGACGTCTCTGGCCTTACCCACTTACCTCCTCGGCGGCCCGTGCGGGGAGGGGGAGGGAAACGGAACGGTTTCATCATGAATCTCGTCAATTACTAAATTCGTCGTTATGTCTAAGGACAACAACTTGAAACAATTGGAATGACCGTAAAATGACTCCAACATAATCAAATCGAGAACAGTAACTATGGTTTTTATTAATTATACTTTTAAATATTATATTTGTCTACTTATAGTTTAAGATAATTATAAAACATTTTCCAAATATGAAGGAGGTACAGTGATTTTAAAAGTTAATTTGTGTATTTGTGTACTATTTCAGTTGATTTTTTAAGGAATAATATTTCATTAAAATGAAGAAAAGGAAAAGTTGAAAGATATCAATACTAGTGTAATTTTTTTTGCTGATGTTTTTAATTTCGGATGATTTACACTTTTTTTAGTTGGATTTCTTCCTTAGTGTGTTCGATAAATAACCTATTTATTATAATCGACAAAATATGTGAACAATAAATAGCAATAGCAAAAAACATTAACAATTTTGATTGTGAGCTCCCCCATATAGCATAACTTTTTCTTTACTGCTCTCGACCGACTAGAATATCGTAATAAATGTAAAAGAAAGACGAGACTAATATTACAAAAAAGTAGTATGTTTTATTCCATGTACTTATTTTACTTTTATGTAATTAAACTTCGAAATTATTACAATGTGTGTGCGTCAAAAAGAACCTCAAAACACGTGTGAAGCATAATATAGATAGTTTTGGGTAGAGGGAGGAGGAACGACTAGGGGAGATCAGGTTTTGACTGAAAGAAATAAATAAGAGAGAAAAGAAGGTAAAGGTAGGGGGGGTGCTACCGCCGGTTAGTCACTAAAGCAGCAAGCCACACGAGAGGGTTTCGACCTTGTTTTACCGGGGAGGGACGGGACAGGCCAGTGCTACACGTAGCTAATAATGTAATAATAATAATTGTCATGCACACCTCTATTTTTCTTCCCTCAACCACGGTGCCGTGTAGTCGGTCTCGTGCGCGCTCCGCATCAGCACTATTTGCGAATGTTACAAAACCGAACCCCTGCATGCAGAGACAGACAAAACATGCATTATATAAACAGCTTTCTCAAACTCGTGCAATGACATAATGATGACGTTAGACGACATGCGTCTAAAAGCCTCCTCATTCCACTCACGCTCATTGGTTTGTTATATAGTAATAATATTAAATAAATAAAATAAAAAAAAAATANTGTCCAGGTGCTGGCAACAGCGCCACGGTCGCATCCTTCACTTCCTTTTGCACGTCTCCGTTCTGGGTAGGAAACCCAGCGGGCGCAGCCGCCCCAAAAGGAGCGCTCATGCCCGTCTGAACCATGTGCTGTAGCAAGAAATAAACACAATATTTTAAAAATATTGAGGCATTGGTCGCATCTTTACTGGCACTACCTTTTCATTGATGATTTCAGTCAATATTAATTTTCCTTATGGTTATATTTTCTATTCAAATTGATATTGTGGCTATTTTTTTTAATAAGACAATAAATATAAAGCATCAAAAATCTTCACCAGTTAATAACTACAACTTATTAATAAAGTAATGTCATTGTTAATGTATTAATTAGAACCATTATAAAGAGCAACTAATCGAGAATTTTTTAGTGGGCAGTTGTTTTCTTATGATATACAATATGTCGAGTAAATATATAGGTACATTGAAGGTATAATTTTTTTGCATTCGTTATAAAAGATATTTTGTTGTATTACTGTAGTGGGGTAAAGATGCGACAAAAAAATAACTGCCACATTAAGGCGCAGTTATAATGTTTATTAAATTGACAGTACATAACAAGAAACTAAGAATCGACAAAAGTTACAACAATTCAAGATACACTTTAGAATAGAATGTGATAATCACTATTTTACGAAAATTAAGTAGAGAACAATTAATTGATTGATTAGTTAATTAATCACTATTTAAAGGTATGTATAAAACGATAAAGTAGTAAATGGATATGAAGTAAAGAGAGAACAACGTAACGTCTCAGAACGAAACGTGGTATACAGTAGCTACAGCACAATCATTAAATTCTGAACCCAATTCATACTACGTCATCAGAAAAAACTTGCTTTGCTCAAGTCTTAGTATAACTTGAAAATTGCATTTATTTGGAAACGTCATGCACAAAGTCTTTGTAAATGTAAAGTAGAATTTTCGGTTTTAAAAACAAAACTTGCTGCTACTTACAGTAATAAAGAATAACAAAAATTAAAAAAAAAAACAAAATTGATTTATAAATAACGTAAGCAGTACTTTAATATTTGGGACCGTAGCCGCCAAAATGACTGACCTCTGTTGGAAAGCTTATGAGTATAGGTGCACAATGGCGAAGATCACTCATGACGGAAACAACCAAAACTGTGATACGCCATTAACCATAACAAATGTATGGGAGAAGGGTTAGACTTTTAATAATACATTGCATATGGCTTAAATTAAGCTAGAATTGTAATATTAATCTCATCCTTTGTGCTCATAATTCTGTAGATTCAGTACTCAAATTCCTAAGTTAACTGACCGTCTTTACCCTTAAACATGTCCACCAGGTTAAAAGATTGGTAATTTTCAGTTAAAAAATTCCACCAAACAGCAACTTCCTGTACATCGAAGATAAGTTTAAAGCACAATTCTATCCTTTACTTGGACTTTTTAATAGTCAGCTAATTCCAGACAAAATTCTACACAAATACACATATGATAAGTATGTAAGTTGGATTAGGTTTTTGTCATGACGGACTTCGATTTTTGTAATCCTCCATAGGCTTTCCAAACAGGTATCCAACCGTGACAGGGGTTGCCCTAAATACTAAAGTGCAGCCATGTGTGTGAACATTATCTAATTTTATATGCCTTTAATTATTTGTTTTCTGGGCATCAAAGTAATTACTGTGCATTTTTTTTTTGAAACAAATATTTTTTAATGACGTTTAGGGATGTGGTGTATATGATATAATGCAACAAGTTTTGTAAAATATTTCAATTTATTAAAATAAAAAAACTGATGCATACCTTCGATCCCCTCTCATTAAAAATAATTTCTACGTCTAGAATTGGCCCAAATTGCTGAAAAAATAAAAATTTTAAACAATTTGTACAATATAAATACATAGACAAAGCTTTTACATGACAGAAACGTCATTCTTTTTGAAATTAGTGAAGCAATAAGTACATTATTAACTTAACAGACGAGTCATTAATTAACTTAAAAGCGGATGTTCAGAAATTCTATTGTAATGATATTTGAATATTACACGTCAAAAACCTATACATATAACTTCACATATACTTTAAGAACAGGTTTACACTTCAATAATTATATTGGCGGGTGTATAGTTTACGACACCATCTCTGAAGTTGGCTCCGCAAAATGACAGAAGTTTTGTCAGTTTCTTTTAGACAGATACGGTTACAATCATAAGGCTACGGTAGAAAAAGACAACACGAGCGAAGTAAGTCAGAATGGCAATTGCCTGCTCTACTTATTATCTCTACGACCCCTACGCACTTTGACCCCTTAGGTTATGTTAGCAGCATTGCTGTATTACAATATTTGAAGTCAACTTCAAGAAGAATGTCGGTAAACTATTTTTTTACCAACATATTTGTACTTAAGTAAGAATTTTGTACAATCGAAACCATGAAAAATATTTGTTTTTACCGATGTGTTTCAGTTTTTATTATTTTGTATATTACTTCACTGTCTTAAGGCTTACCCCAAACATGGCTCTCAAATCTGGATCCCTAAATCGGAATGGAATGTTGGAGACATGTAATCGTTTAGGTTGATTTTTGGTAGGATCTTGAGCAGGGGTGCTACCCGCAGGGGTGGCTTCAGGTGTGCCTGTTGCAGTCGGAGGTGCTGCTGCCGCCTCCGAGGCCTCAGGCTGTTGTAATACTTGGGGTTGTTCACACGAATACGTCGCCGAACCCCTAAATAAAAATCATTATTCTAACTTCATCAAAACAAATTTTCTTAGTAAACTCCTTTTTCTTAAGGTATGAATGCTTCTTAATAAAAGAAAATTCAGTACTAAAAAAAAATACGGTGAAAAAACTTCAAGATAACACCTTAACGAAAAGACTTCAGTAATAATTTTGTTTGCATGCATAGTCCGCTTAATATTTTTGGTCTTATCACTTAGTTTAATCAACCGTGTAGCTACAGGGTTGCAAGGATGGGTAACAAGATTACCTGACAGGACTATTGACGATGTTGTTGCCTCCTCCTCCTGCTGCACCCTGTTGGTCGGGAGCGACAGATTGGGGTGGCGGCGGACTGAAGGGTGGTCCCGTCCCCGCCGCCGCTGCTGCCGCGGCCACTGCGGCTGCGGCCGTTTGTCCAGGTGCTGGCAACAGCGCCACGGTCGCATCCTTCACTTCCTTTTGCACGTCTCCGTTCTGGGTAGGAAACCCAGCGGGCGCAGCCGCCCCAAAAGGAGCGCTCATGCCCGTCTGAACCATGTGCTGTAGCAAGAAATAAACACAATATTTTAAAAATATTGATGATGACAGCGAAATAAATCATGATAGGAGTGGGTGGCATTTTGAAATATATTATGTACTTTATTTATAAGCATTGGGGGTAAATTTTTTTTCCTGTATAGGGAGGGTGCGGAAGAATTTGAAGTTATACCATGAGGAATTTATTTAGGTGCGTACCAAAATTATCTGAAGCAATATTTAAATTCCCAAATGGTTAAAAACAATTTTTCTTTAATGGTAATAATAATTTCCTTGCATATTTGAGTTTTTATCCTAAATTAGATAACATCATTTCTCATTTTTAAAAATTACTTATTGTATTAGTCAGTTCAATAATGTGTCCTACATGTTTTGTGTATTTACTCTAAGTGAAAACCATTAAGGTGCCATGTAATTTTTAATTGCATTAAAAGAAAAAACATTATCCGGAAATGCTTCACGGCATGTTGCCCATGATTTTAACTTCTTACACAAATTGTTTGCTTTTAATTTATTTCATTTTCCAGGATTGACCATAAGAATAAGTTGAGCGCAAAAAATAAAGGAGCAATAAATGAAACATTTAAATATTTTAAGGACCAACCACCATAAACCAGTCATAACACTAATTCATTAAAAAATAAAGGAATTGAAGCAGAAATATTGAAATTTTAATAAGGTTGTTTAACAATAAAATTACTTAATGAGAGAGAATTGGGTTTAATGAAGACATACAGAAAATCTTCATGGTTAAAATAACAAACCATGTGGTTGACGTAAACAGTAAACTATTTATGTTTAGTATAAATTACTAGCAGAAATACTCGATTTCCCGGAGCTTTTAATACTTATTGTTAGTTTTTGTACTGGTCAAGGATTTTTTTACATATTTTCATGTAATACTTATAAAAAGAACATTACATTTTAGAAAATGCTACGTAGATTTGTGTCGATCTACTTTAGAAACACAATTGAATTATAAATGACATCAGTAATATTAAATAATTTATAACAACAATGAAAACGTTTGTTATTTTTGACGCTTTTACCCTTTTCATTTTGAAAGTGCAATTTTCCTTCAACCCATCACAATTAACAATTTAACGTAACGGTTTCTAAACGAGAAGTAATTGACGATGACATCATTTATTTAACGAATTCCTTCCCTTTGTAAATAATATACTTCACACAGACAAGTGTTTTATTTCCACATCCTCAACCAATTAGCCCCCTCTTTAGTGCACTTTTGCTCGTAACAAACCATTAATAGCTACAAACTTAAGTTCCATATCAAGCCGAATAAGGATGTGTGTAATTCGAAGACCAACAACAACATTTACAATTAAATGCAGCACGTATTAATTGTAATTTATGAAGCTCATTTTGTGTAGTAATTGAACGCAATTTTAGATTGCCAATTAAAGTAACAGATGACTAGCTGATAACGACTTTGAATTAATTTATATCGGGGCTCACAATTATAAAATTATACTCCTTATCATTTTTTTTAATTATTTACAAGAAATATAGAATTAATTCGATAACATTCTCTAAGGTTTTGTTTAAAAATCCACAAATACATCTATTCCCAATAAATTATATACAAAGAAAAAAATAATTACATTAAAAAAAATCTAATTACGAGGAGGACATTGACCTTAATGATGTCACATTCACAAAATTTAACAAAAAGAAGGGTTCGAGTAACATGCAATGAAAGAGGCGATCGTATGTAATAAATGAAAAACGGGAAACATCTGGCACGGAATTGTGTAGCTTCGGCAGTTCTCATCATCCATGCAGTCGGCTCAAATAGGCCGATCTCACGAGTGTTCATTGCAAACAATTAAAATCAACCGATAGAATGGTCTCGTTTAGATCTACAGCTTATTTCACGTAGACAGATGCTTGCAATCAGTCGTATGTTTGTGTTTGTTTGTTTCAAATGAAGACTTCTCTGGCGATTACAACATTGATTTTCCTTTAATATAGGGTTGTTCGGAAATTCATTTCGTTTTTTCCCGACAGAGGATTTAATTGTATTCTTTTGCACCCAACTTCACATTTAAGCCGTATAATTTTTATATGCTTTGAGAGCTCATATAGCAAGGCTTGTGTGTGAAAAATTCCAATTAATTCTACGCAGTAGTTTTTGGTTGGTGCCCTTTTAAATATGGAGAGCGATAAGCAGCATTTTCGACATATCTTACTGTTTTACTACAGAAAGGGTAAAAATGCTGTTCAAGCCAGAAAGAAATTGACTGATGTGTATGGAGAAGGTGTGTTGACAGTACGCCAGTGCCAGAACTGGTTCGCTAAATTTCGATCCGGCAATTTTGATGTCGAAGATGCACCACGTTCGGGAAGGCCGGTTGAAGCTGATAAAGACGCGATAAAGGCATTAGTTGATGTGAACCGGCGAATAACAACACGTGAGATCGGATTGAGGTTAAATTTATCAAATTCAACAGTTTATGACCACTTGAAAGGCCTGGGATTATCCTCGAAGCTCGATGTATGGGTTCCCCATGTTCTCACAGAGAGAAATCTGTGTCGCCGCATTGACGTCTGCGATTCGCTTCTCAAACGTCACGAAAATGATCCGTTTTTGAAGCGCATCATCACTGGGGACGAAAAATGGGTTGTATACAACAACGTCAAACGCAAGAGGTCATGGAGCAAAAAAGATGAACCGGCTCAAACCATTTCCAAAGCCGATATTCACCAAAAAAAGGTGATGCTGTCTGTTTGGTGGGATTTTAAAGGAATCGTTTTTTTTGAGCTTTTACCGGATAACACAACGATTAATTCGGAAGTCTACTGTCATCAGCTGGACAAACTGAATGATGCACTTCAACAGAAAAGGTCAGAACTAATCAACAGGAAAGGTGTAGTGTTTCACCAAGACAACGCGAGACCTCACACAAGTTTGGTCACTCGCCAAAAGCTTTTACAGCTTGAATGGGATACAATGCTACACCCACCATATTCTCCAGACCTGGCACCATCGGATTATTATTTGTTCCGGTCACTCCAAAATTTTTTAGACGGTAAAACCTTCACCTCAAATGAGGAGGTCAAAAACCTCCTCGATCAGTTTTTTGCCAGCAAAGACCAAAAATTTTATGAGCGTGGAATTATGCTACTACCAGAAAGATGGCAAAAGGTGTTAGACCAGAACGGTCAATATATAATTTAATAAAGTATTTGTTTATTATACGAAAACTGTCTTTCATTTCCACTAAAAAAAAACGAAATGACTTTCCGAACAACCCTATAGTTTCGAAAGAACAATCGACAAATTTAATTATTTAAAATGAGACTGATAATACAAAAAATACGAAAAATTCGTTCTCACAATGTACGACAAAAACCGCTTTTCAATTTGCAATATGTAATGACTAAAAAACATCTACAAATTTGGATGTAGGAGGTAATCTCCGAAACTACTCATCCAATTTCAAAAATTCTTTCACCGACATTTAGAATGGTCCTTCGAGGTGAGCATAGATTGTACATTATTCCATTAAAATAAAAGGGCTTTTCATGGAGACCAATTCTGCAATGTAGGCCAACGAGAAGACGCGTTTCTTACTAAAGCTGATTTAGAAATATTGGTATCAATGCCTTCTATAAAAAAGTTATACAGCTTAAAAATTCTACAGCGACGTGAATCTAATTTTTACAAATTAATGAAACATAAACTGAATTTATAACTATAAAAACAGTAATTTACAGGTCATGTGAATTTTTTGCCTTAAAAGACAATTCTACTTTTTGGAATAATAATTGGTTGGTATTATATGCAAAGAAGAATAGTATTGTGTGCAGTAACAAATTTTTAATGGAATTTAAACGTGTGAAAATAATTTTGCAACAGTCGTAGTAAGTAGTAAGCAACAAGCGTAACAGAGAAAATTTACGTAGGGGCATGTAATTAGGTCTCAAAAAATTATATATTAGTTTATATATGTTTAGATATAATAATCACAATCCCAAGGGCAAAAAGTACATTCCTTTTTAAAAAGTGACAAAACATTTTGTATTGTATTTTAGACTTTAGGATTTCACGATGACAATTCAGTTACAAGCTTGTCGGGTTTTATCGTACCATAAGTGCTTTAGGTATTAACGGTAACAATCCTGCCTCGAGGACATAAACTGAAACATTTCGAATTAACTTTATCGATTTTAAACGTCCCTATTAATCGCTAATTGTAATATACATGTATGCTTTTCTTCGAGGGTCTTTCTCATCAATGACTTCGCAAATCAATAGGGATGTACTCTATCAGATGATATGGATAAAGTTGAGCGTTTCGTTATGGTTTTATATTTGTGAAGTAGCTACTCCATTTAAAAAGCATAAAAATGTAAGTAGAGACTTACAATTAGATATCTGAGATATTTAGATACTCTCTTTTCTTTAGGATCTAGTGTCTATTTCTTATTGAGCGCCCTATTACTATTACTCATTCTATTACCTCCTCATTTCTAACTTTCTATTTCCATGGTATCCTCATCATTCATTTCAAACGCTTAAACGCTTTTAACCACTTATTTTCCTTCGCGCCCACCGTTCACGTTTCGCACCCATACAGCGCCATGCCTCAGATATACACATTTAATAATTTTTTTCAACTTTCTAAATTAATCGTTCACGAGCAGAGAACTGCTTTCTTTTTGTAAAAGGTTACTTGACCTTGCGCTATCCACTGTTTTATATCTCTATTATTCCTTCTATCCTGAATCATCTGACTTCGCAGATGCCAAAAATGTTCAAGGAGGACTGCGGGTAGGCCATTCCTGTTCCAGGTTATGTCGCTCGGAAATTACACATTTATTAGCAGGCATCTTTTAGTTTTATGTCGCAAATGCATAATCTTTTTTCAACTACGCCTATCTGAAAATATCACCCGCCTTTTGTCGTAAACTAATGGAATTCCCAAAATGATTTGAACAAAGCGTAACACCCGTTAAAACCTTTAAATTACATTTATACT